CATGCATGCAATGTCCCATCAAATGTCCTCTAAGCAGCATGGGGTACGCTTGGCAAGGAAATTTCGATGCGTCATTCCTACTTGGTAATGGCCCTCAGCAGTTGGTGAAGATGCAGAAAAATTAGAAATCTCAACCATTTCCAGTAGGAAAGTAAAATGGTGTATCTGCTTGGAAAATAGCTTGGCTATTCTTTAAAAGTTTTAATACAGAGTAACCATATGACCCAAAGAATTTCATTCTAGGTATATACTTAATTGAAAGACATTCACACAAAACCTGTACATGGATGCTCACAGAAGCATTATAATAGCTAAAAAAGTAAATAGTACTCAACTATCAAATGATGAATGAAATATTATTTGACAATAAAAAAAGAATGAATAAATGATACATGCCACAATTTGGATGAATTTTGAATACATTATAATAAGTGAAATGATTTGTCAGCCACAAACATCTTCATAGTATGTGATTCAATTAATATGAAATGTTCAGGATAGGCAAATCTGTAGAGACAGAAAGTAGATTGTAACAGCCAAGGGTTATGGGGAATGGAAATTGGAAAATATGGTAATGAAAATGTTCTGGAATGAGATGGCTGTACAAAATGTAATAAAATTACTGAGCTGTACAATTTAGAGGAATGAATTTTATGGCATTTAAATTATATATCAGTCTAAAAAAGTTCTTAAAAATGTCTAGACTGGGTGATCTCATTGGAGATTTTCTGGCACAAAGCCCTCACCTCACAGAGGGGCAAACTGAGACCCAGAGAGAGAAAATGGCTAGCTCATTTTACTCAGTAGGATAGTGGTTAAGATGAAGTTCAGTCTTAGGTCTACTGACACCCGATTCGTTCATTTATTATTCTCAATTATGGAGGGCTTACTATGTACCAAGTACTGTGCTGGTGCTAGAGATACAGTGTAAAAAAAATTCTGCTGGTATAGAGTTTCTATTTGGGGACATCATGGATAAATAAATAAATTTATATCATAAAACTGAAATTTTGGTAGGACAGAGTAGGCATTCAATGTTCCCTTCCACTTTTTCCTGATTAACATTTCATTCTAACTTCTGTATGAAAGTGATCATTAAGCTAGGTAATCCCTTACTCTTCATTATTCCTTACATATCCATTCATTCATTCTTATTACATGAATACTATAATATATATACATGTAATATATTCTAAGGGTTAGTGATAAAATAGATGTTACTTTCTAACAGGAAAGACAGGAAACAAACGTATCGACAAATAGTATCAGGTGTATAAATAAAATAGTGTAGTATAAAGAAATAGGCAGTGATTGGATGAGGAGAAAAGATTATTTGACTAGAATACACAGAGAAGGTCTCTATAAGGAGATAGCATTTGGCCAAACTCTGGATAAAGGAGTAAGGCCTGTGAAGTTCTGGAAGAAGAATACTTAGGGCAAAGAGAACAGCAAATGCAAAGGCACTTAGTTAAGCTTGATATCTATAAGGAACAGCAAGACCAATGGGATTAGCCCAGAGAAAGCAAAGGGGACAGTGAGAGCAGTAAGCACAGAAATGAAGGTTAGAGAGATAAGTAAGGATCATATAACACAGCATTAAATGCAAATTTTATGCTAAAAATGAAAAGAGGTCACTGAAAGTTTGCAGCAGAAGGAATGATGCGATCCAATTTACATTTTCAACAGATGTCTATTTAACTGGCTGCTGTGGAGAATGGATTAGAGGCAGGCAAGAATGGATTAGAGGCAGGCAAGAAAGCAAATAAGGATACCAGGTGAGAGATGATGTAGGCTCAGCAAGGATGGTAGCATGGGAAAGCAGAAAGATTTAGCATGTAATGGGCATGCAGAGCTGATAAGAATTGCCAATGGATCAGATATGATGAAAAAAAGGAAAAGACTAATTAAGGATGATGTCAAAGTTCTTAACCTTAGCGATCAGGAGACTGGTGTGGCCTATTAATTAGACTGGGGGGGTGGGAGTAGGAGCAGGTAAAGGAGCAGTAGAAAATCAAAAATTATGTTTTGAACATTTCGAATGTAATGCCCATGAGTCATCATCCCAAGGGAGTCAGTTCAGCAGGGAGTTTGAGATGACAATATCATACAGATGGAAACTAGAAATCATCTCCAGCACTCAAATGATATTTAAAATCAAAAAACTGTGTGAAGATGGTGGCATCACTATTCCAGACCTAAAACTATACTACTGAGCAATAGTAACAAAACAGCATGGTATTGGCACCAAAATAGACCTGTAGACCAATGGTATAGAATAGAGAACATGAATTCAGTTATCTTATATTAGACAAAGGTGCCAAAAATATACATTGGAGAAAAGATAGCCTCTTTAACAAATGGTGCTGGGAAAACTGGAAATCCACATGTAACAAAATGGAATTAAATCTCTCTCACCATGCACAAAACTCAACTCAAAGTGAATCAAGCACCTAGGAATTAAACCAGAGACCTTTCACCTAATGGATCAAAAAGTAGGCCCAAATCTCCATCATGTAAGATTAGGCCCCAACTTTCTTAATAAAACTCCTGTAGTACAAGAATTAAAATCAAGAATCAATAAATGGAATAGATTTAAACTAAAAAGCTTCTTTTCATAAAAAGAAATAATCAGTGAGGTAAAATAGAAAGACTATAGAATGTGAGCAAATATTTACCACAAGCACATCAGATAGAGCACTAATATCTAGGATATGCAAAGCACCCAAAAACCTTAACATCAAAAAAAACCCAAAAAACAAAAAACAAATAACCCAATCAATAAATGGGCCAAGGAACTGAACAGACACTTCTCAGAAGAGGATATATAATCAATCAACAAACATATGAAAAAATGTTCAACATCACTAGCAATTAGAGAAATGCAAATCAAAACTACTCTGAGATCTCATCTCAACTCCAGTCAGAATAACAGCTATCAAGAATACAAACAACAATAAGTGTTGGTGAGGATGTGGGGAACAGGAATACTCATACATTGCTGGTGGGATTGCTGATTGGTGCAGCCAGTCTGGAAAGCAGTATGGAGATTCTTTGGAAAACTGGGAATGGAACCACCATTTGACCCAGCTATCCCACTTCTCGGTTTATACCCAAAGGAACAGCATACCACAGGGACACAGCCACATCAATGTTTATAACAGAAGGATCCACAATAGCTAAATCATGGGACCAACCTAGATGCCCTTTAGTAGATGAATGGATAGGAAAAATTTGGTATGTATACACAATGGAAAACTACTCAGCATTAAAAGAGAATAAAATCATGGCATTTGCAGACAAATGGATGAAGTTGGAGAATATAATGCTAAGTGAATAAGCAAGCCAATCCCCCCCCCAAAAGGTCGAATGTTCTCTTTGATATGAGGATGCTGATGCATAATGGCAATTGGGGGTGGGGAGCATGGGAGAAATGGAGGGACTTTAGATAGGGCAAAGGGGAGGGAGAGGAAAGGTGGGGGCAAGGGGGGAGGAATGATGGTGGAATGAGTTAGACATTATTACCCTAAGTACATGTATAAGACACGAATGGTGTTACTTTGTTTATAATCAGTGTCTTAAAAAATTGTGCTCTATATGTGTAATATGAAATGAACTGCATTCTGGCATCAGGTATAAAAAATCAGAATAAATTAAAAAATAAGACCAAAAGAATGGATAAAATCACATAGAAATATAACAGAAAGAAGGAAAAGCCATAGAGGAGATGGAGATGGAATATCTAGTGAGGCAAAAGGAGAGTTGGTGTCCTGGAAACCAAATTCAGTGTTTTAAGGAGGAGGAAGGAGTCAACTGTATCTAATGCTGTTCATAAGCTGAGTAAGGGGAGAATAATAGAGTGGCTATTTGATTTGATCACATGGAGATTATTAGTGACTTTTGCAAGAATGTTCTCAGTGGAATAGTGGTGAGTGGGGCATAGGTCCATGTAGAATGTTTAGAGTCTCATTCCTAGCAACTGGCATTTGTTTGTTCACATACATGTATCTCACTTTATCCCACAAGTTCCTTAGGAATACATACTGGGCACCTAGCATAGTACCTGGCTCATAGTAGGTTTTCAATCCATGTTAGCCATATATGAGTTTAAAACCTAAGCATGTTCAGAAAGCATCTGATTTATGCATTTCCATGTATTAGGCACACAGATCTAAGAATATTGTGGATCCTCCACTGATCTTATAAAGAAAGGATCATGGTAGCATCTTTTACAAAGTCATTCCTGTTCTATCCAAAACCAAAAAAGTAATTTCCTCTCTGGGAATAAGTATAAGCTTTGCTTCTCCAAGATGCTTTTAAACCTAGAAGCCAGGAAAGACTTATATTTGCATGGATAAAAATGGTCACACCCCCACTTCTGCCCCTCAACAACTTCTTTGTATCTAATCACCATTTAGAAGCTAAGGGTGAATATGAGTACTGACCTTCACTTTCATCCAGGGAAGAAGTATAGAAAACCGCCCTTTCTCGCAGTAATCGCTTCGAAATTGTGATTGGTTTGTGTCTTCTTGCTGTCACTCGAGGTGGAGGCACTGGGGGTGCAGTGTTCTCCTCAGGTGGACCCAAATAGATCTGTGGAGGGATAAGGAAGATATCCAGGAGGCAATTATATCAAGCTTTTTTGTCCCTAATACTGCCTACCACCTGATATCTGCTAACATTACACTTAGGGTCTGCTGTAAATATTCTAATATGGTTAATTGAATTATGGGGATTTTCTAAAACATTCTACTAGCAAGTGTTTAGATATCTCTTCCCATGTTTATGAAACAAAATGGAACGCTCCTTAGTGTGAAACAAAGAATGCAGACAAAAGACTACAACATCAGTCCTGGTTTTCTACTTTCTGCCTGGGAGACCTGAGGGAAGTAATTTCTCTTCACTGAGCCTCTGTGTTCTCTTCGGTAACACAGGGGCAATACCACCTACCTCACAGGATATGATAAAAATCAGATGCAAAGAGTTATTAAGATGCTTTTTGAGAGAGTCCTAAATATGGCAGAATGGACCTAGGCAGTGGATTCTGAGAGCAAAAACACAGAGAGGAGGCAGTGAAGGAACAGCTGATCTGACAGGTGGGAGATATAAATGTTCTAAGACTCAATATTATAATGTCCAAGACCTGGAGAGACTTGAAGATTGGTTACCAGAGTAGAAAATAAGCACAGAATTCCCTAACCCCAAATGTGGAACAGGGTGGGAGAAATGGGGAGGGACAACAGGCAAAGAAAGAGGGAGCAGAAAAGCACAAAGTCCACTCCCTTAACAACATTTGGAAGGAAAGGCAGGAAAAAAAAGGCATGGCAGCAACAGCGGTGTCCTTGAAGCAGATCAAGCAGTATAAAACCAAATCATAAGTAGAAAGCCATGCCAGGATCCACAGCCATTTTGTGGAGCCCAGAGCTGAACAGTCACCCTCATAAATCAACACAGCATTCTCCCCACTTCCAGAAAGAAACAAGTTAAACTAGAGGGTAGTGGGTTCTCGTAAGGATCCCTCTAGAAAGAACTTGTAGAGGGATCACTACTAGCCCAAAGTTGCTGAAACCCTTCCCTCTGACCATGAAAATGGGGAGCAGGGTGGAACAACCAACCCAGGAACTGCTCACCCAAATCAGCACTCTGTACAGCTGTCATGGAAGGCTGGGCAGAGACAGAGCAGACACCTGCAATTCACACACAGCGGCAGAACTGAAAGCTCAGATCCAAGCAGCAAGACAGTTTTGGCAGCAAGCAGAATAAAGGGGAAAGGGGAGCCATTAGAACTGCTGCTGCCGCCTGCTGTCCCTGGGATGAGAAACAGAGGGGAGTTGCCTGAGGTCTAAGAAGCCTAGAGGGATTATCCCTGATTGCAGTCACAGTCTGCATAAGGCCATCCTGGAGGGAAGCCTCCTGGATATCCAGCAGCATAGAGTGATGGTTCCCTAGATCATGGCAGCAGCTGGTGGAAGGCTGGGATGAGAAGTTACTTGAGTTTTCAGGAAGCTTAAAGGGAAGAGGCCTGGACCATTACCAAAGCCAACAAGAGGTCAGTCAAGGCAAACATTTGCCTGGGTCCAAGGCAGCTGACCCTTGGGCACATGTACCGAGTGACAGGACACTGTTTTCTTTTTTTAAAGTATTTATTTTTTAGTTGTAGTTGTACACAACACCTTTATTTCACTTATTTATTTTTATTTGCTGCTGAGGATCGAACCCAGGGTCTCCCATGTGTGAGGCGCTCTACCACTGAGCCCCAACCCTAGTCCAAGGGCATTGTTTTGATCCTGTCTCAACCCTGCATCAGTCACAGTCAGCAGAGGGAATCAGTGCCCACCCTTCACAGCCTGGGGCAGTGGAAACTGGAACCTAGGTGAGTCAGCTGAATCTCTTTACTCAGTGGTAAAAGACAGTATCCCAGTAAGCTGCATAGGCCAGGATCTGTACCACAGATCCCCCATGGAGAATCCACAACCACAGGATCTGTGCTTGCAGACAGCCATTATGCTTTATGCCTTCATGAAAACAATCCTGTAGAAGGGAGTGGGTATATGATGACCCACAGCAATAGCAGCAATAGCCCAGAACCCTGCGTCCTGAACTCCTGCACAAAACAGAAACAACCAACAGACACAACTTCACATACTCCACATACTCAATGCAGTCCCTGAGCTGACAAAACAAATCAGACCAGTGGAAGGTCCATAGAAACCAGGGGATAATATTATGCTAAGTGAAATTAGCCAATCCCCAAAAAACAAGTGCTGAATGATTTCTCTGATTTAAGGATGTTGATCCATAATATGCTATGGGGGGTGGGCATGGGAGGATTAAATGAACTTTAGATAGGGCAAAGGGGAAAAGGGGAGGGAGGAGAAGGGAGGGAAACAGGGGTAGGAAAGATGGTGGAACACGATGGTCTTCATTACCCTATGTACATATAAGGAGACGCAAATGATGTGACTTTACTTTGTGTACAACCAGAGATATGAAAAATTGTGCTCTATATGTAAAATATGAATTGTAATGCATTCTATTGTCATATATAAATATTGAAATTTAAAAAAGAAACTAGGGGAGGGACTCCTCTATCCAGGAATCTCTGGAGGAATTAGAAGGCAAATAATGATGGATATTTTTTAAATGTCCCAAACCCTAAAATGAAATCCAAACCAAGATTCAAAAAAAATTTTCTTCACCTTGGCATGGTTTATACTATAAATAACTCAAACATCAACTTTGATCATGAATATTACTATTTATCTTGATTGTGAGTTGTTACCCTAATAGCCATTATTGTACCTTCAACCCATGTACATGTATTTCTTTTAATGGTTTAAAGCACTAATTGGAATTATTCTATTTTTGACTTCCTAGCAATAGTTTATACTTGACCCTCTTAATTGCTACTCTCCTACTCACACTGTCTGCCAGTACCAGAAATACCCCTATCCACCTTTTTTAACCCTTTTACCTTAGTGAGTATTATTCTTTTCTACCTTTTCTCTTTTTAAATTTTTTAATCTCTTTTGCCCATTTTTTCTCCCTTCCAGCCCTAGTATAATTTTACAGCAATTTCACTATATTTAATAACTAATTTTCAACTCATTCCAGAATTTTTTACTACAGGTTTATACTTGTATTAGAGGAACTGGTGAACCACTATATTTACAAGTCATTCACTTTTTATCAGGCTGAATTGTAAGTGGCTGGGCTCTGAACTGATTGTAGTGAATAGGGTTCTGGGTTTCCCTCAAAGTGGTGCTTATATTGGCATCAGCAAAGGTCATGATATGAGTTAAATATCCACACCTGGATATTCACCCAACCCAGGGCTCTTAAGAAGTTCACAAAGCAGTCCCTTGCTTAAAAGAAGCAAAAACCACCCCAATAAATGGATAGATATACAAGTGATATTAAAAATCAAGGGAACAAACAACCCCAAACAATACATAACACTTCAACAACTGACTTCATTGGCATTGCAGTGAAAGAAATGTCAGAGAAAGTAGAAAGTTCATAGTTAAAATGATCAATAAACTAAAAGCAAAAGTAATAGAAAAAATAGGATGGAAATACAGGAAGTGAAAGATTATTTCAATAAAGAGATAAAGTTTATGGAGGTTGGGGTGTAGCCCAGTGGTAAAGTGCTTGCCTCACATGTGTGAGGCACTGGATTCAATCCTCAGCAAAGTAGAAGAATGATTTTTGAAAGTAATTAAGGGGATTGATGGGGAAGGAGGAGGATACTGGATAGGGAGGACGACTGGAATGCATCTGACCTAACTTTCCTACATAATACGTGAATATGCCACAGCAAACCTCGCTATCAAGTATTTCCACAAGACACTAACTGAAATAAAAAACAAAACACCCTATAAGTAAATAACAGAAAGATCAGTAGAAGGAAGGGATCAAAGGAAGGGGAAGTACTAGGGACTGAGTTAGAGAAAATTTTATTTCATGCTTTCATAATTATGTCAAAATAAATCCTAATGTATAACTAAAAAGTTTCAATAAAAATATATTGGGGAAAAAAGAGATAAAACTATAATTATCTTGCCTATTTTTCATGGGCTGAACATCTAACCAAACCAAATAGAATTGTTTGTTCAACTGGCCACTCTTGGAAGAAAATCTTGAGGCCCCTTCCTATGTATCATACATATAGTTGCTGTGGAAAAGTGAAAATATGAAACCTGGAAAGAAAAGATGCTTTTTATCATCTGGGACTGCAATGCAGAAGAAGAGTAAACATACCTTCATGAACATATACACATAGGCACTCAATATTTCTGAAAAGATACTAAGGAATCTGGTTACATCGTTAGTCTCAAGGCAGAAATAATGATTGGCTGGGGAAAATAAGGAGGGAAACTTATTTTTCTCTCCTATATAATTTTGTTTTTTTAAAATTTCATACCACAGTACATTGCCTGCCTATTCAAAAAATAAAAGTAACATATAATTAAAAAGTTAAAACAAAGTGTCTTGGATATATAGAGAGTGTTGGAGGAGTGCAGAAGAGCTGTAATTAGAATTTTTATATAGTAGTTCATGTGAACTTAAGGATTTTCCACTTCCTAGGGAGACTGACCTTTTGGCCTGTGTACCTCCACTTTGGGATGACACATACATATGGTGAAGAATTAAGGGAATCACTGTTGCCAGCCAGTGACAGTAACAATATCAATCCCAAAAATTAGTGTGAAGAGAAATGTTAGAACCCAACATCCTAATATACAAAAGGCAAAACAGAAATTACATGATTGGAAACGCATAGTAAGCCTGTGCAAAAGCTGGACCTTGGCAAGGAACAATAGTGGAAAGTATATGTCTCATGGTTATAAGGAAGAGACAATATGACATAACAGCAAGATCAGCACTGAAACCATACAGTTCTAGGTCATACTCCTGGTCATAGTATTCTAAATAGCTATTACTTGTGAGCATCTGCTTGGGCACTATAATAGTTTTTATGAATATTCCATGCTATTCCCCAACACACCATGGATTTTGTACTGACTATTTATTCAACCTAGAATGGTCTTCTTCCACATATCCATAAAATTTGCTCTTGCTCTCTCCATTCT